CACACACACACACACACACACACACATATATACATACAAACATTTTTTAGGAATATGATTTTCCGACGTTTTGGAACATTCTAAACACATTGGCATAGAAAACTCGAAAAAATATTTTGTCACGAAAACAAAGCTTCCTCTATGAGGAAGCAAAAGAAATATATGCAACCCACAATGACTCCTTTATAAATTTCACGCATTATTATACATTATAATGTTGGCATAAAATCATTATTGTTGCGCTAATGTAAGATCAGCCTTGAGAAGGACCTTGCTACGTTGGATAGATCTTCAAAGTTTCCTGCAAATTGATACATGTAATCGCGCCGAATCATATAATTATATAATGATGCCTTTCCTTCGTCCAACCATTAATTATCAGATTTGAATTTTAGGGTTAAATAAGCACTCGTAATGAATGATAATACGATTACGCGCGGATTTAGAGTGAAGTGCAGCTTGCGTTAGTAGGATCGGTCGCCGCCCACTACTGTCAGAACATTAACATGTAGAAGTGTATACACAGATATACTATATATATACACGATACAACTTCCTTCTATAAATATGTGTATTAGCGCGTTCCAAGAATCCATTTAAATAATTACTGCTGTGTACAGAAATATAAATCGTTGTATTTCTAAAGGAGTGTGTATCGATTTCTACTACATATATTCGCTTGGACAGCATTGTAAACACAAAGAACACAGAATATTGAAAAAACTTTTAATCCATCATTTCATACACAATAAAATTTTTTAAGTTTGGTTGCAAAAAATAATTAAATAATGAAAGCAAAAAAATATAATTGTGAAAAAAACTTATGAAATGTGAAAGATATATATATATATATATATATAAAGCTAATCGTTATAAAGCGGTACAGGGTGTGCCGAAAATGAAGCTCTGCTAATCCCTTCTAACGTAAGCAATAATCTCGCAATCGCAACGATCGTTCGTAATGTACGTTATCATGACAATTTTTTTTTTTTAGTAAATGGTAGTTTGCATCTACTACTGGCATCGGCACACACCCCGTGTTTTATTTATCTCTTTATTGTCGTAAATTATTATTGGAGCTATACGTATATACGTAAGTATTAGTATCAGTATTATTGTTCGAACAGCATTAGAACTTATCCTAGGTTTCTCGTAATATAATTACGCTTTATATAGATAATATCTCGGATATCTCCCAGAAAAACAACTCTTTCTGGTTCGGTGAATGAAGTCGTGAATAACATTAGGCCAGTCACTACTTCGATATATAATGATGAATATATCTATATATAGAGATTCTTAACGTAACGTTATCTGTCGTACAGGACGAGTCACGATTAAAGCGAAAACACCGAATCAAAAAAAAAAAAAAAAAAAAAAAAAAAAAAAAAAAAAAAAATTTAAATTTTATCTAAATTTCTGAATTTTATTTTAATCTTGATGATTGTGCTTAGAAATAAAATTTTGCAATTTAAAGATGTAAACTTGCTTATATTCGATATAAAAATTTATTATAAATTTATTATTTACAGTTTAATCGAAAACATGATTTTATGTGTAAAACTTGATGATGAATGTAAATGAAGTAAAAAAGAATAAGATGCTTTGTAGAATAAATTTTCATAATTACGAGAATCTATGATATATATGTAATATTGGCATAAATGTATATACGCAAAATCATCAGCGCGGTGCGAATTTATTCGCAAGAAAAAAAAAGTGAAAAATCATTCTGTTTAATGTTTGATAGCGTTTGATTATGTTAATGAAATTGCAATAATCGTGAAGAGATTATGAATAAAATCTTATTACATGAAACATCAAATAAATTTTCAGTCACTCGTCTACTCTTCAATTCATTGGGTTTTCAAACTCGATTTAACGCATATAATTTGATTGCTCATAGTAAATTTCTTCACAAACTTTGTTGATAGTTTTCTGTCTGTTTGCGACGGTCGTTTGCTCTTCGCGATAGAAGATTTTGATCGAAAATTATATTTTAAATGAGAATTTCTTGTGATTGATTCTCGATTGACTTTTGCAAAGAGTTACGACAATTCGCGTATAATAGTTAAAATTCAGAGACGATAATAATTAATCCTCTATCGATTTGCATAATCTAAAATCAATCTATCTGTTTACTATTTATGTAACTTTTTAGTATCGTGTACAGCCTAATTTATACCTACTCCAATTCAGATAAACTTTGGTAGACCTTGTGATATATAAGAGAATGTCACTGCCAAAGTGATAAGCGATCTAATACATGTTATGCATTACTTTTATCAATTGATGATCTTTTCTCTTGTAAATAATCTGATTTGACTAATGCTCATTAATGCAACAAAAGCTAGATAATGCAGATATACATTCAGGAAGACATAGCGTATCAACGGAGCAATGCATGTTTATTAAACGAAGTTCAACACGTGATTCAGAATTTATGCGGCAAATTGCATATTTTAACGAACGTATATACCAACGTGTTATAATATTATTAGTATATTCATGATAACATAATTATCTATATAGATTATCTACATTAAGAATACGATAAGTGCACACGCACAGACACAGAGCAAAATAAATGTCATTTAATGCAAGAGAGACAGAAAGTGAAAATTCATAATTTATTAACTACTAAAAAAAACATTTTTTGTTGATACACCATTTTGAAAAATTAAAATCATTGCTATCGGTATTGAGTTAAAAACTAATCAAATGTGCAAATTTATGATATCGTCGTGGAAACCCCCCTTTTATCTATCTCAAACAATGACGTAATTCTTCCGGTAATCGTATTCCTAAGATCGTATAATTATCGTTTACTATACATATAATTACGGTTGTAGATACATATTAGAAAAATTTTCTGCCAATAACCTTCGTGACTGCTTTTAGAATTTTAGACGATAAACATATGATGTAAAGCGGGACAAATTAATTATTAATATGATAAGCAGTTTTGATATGATATATTTCTTCTTAAAAAAAATACGACAATAGAACAATAAATTAAATTTTTACATTTTATGCCTTTTGTATTCCTTATATTTTTTTATTTTCCATTACGACTCCTTTTGTAAGATTATGATAATCGTTTCGTACATATCTGGTCATTTGCTTAGGGAAAGCGATGTCCTGCTTTTTTTTTTTTTATTTTGTTTTTAAGCAGATTGTCACTGTGAGGTTTCAGATCTGCTTTTTTTCCAACGTCCCAGCTTGACAACGAATCGTTTCTCCCTGGCGTAATAGTGACACAGATGGTACACAACGTTTAGATGACTGTTATCACGCGCGTATCATTAATTTCAAGCGTGTTGCAAGTGTGTTTCCGACTTTCTATCATCCTGCGTGCCCCTTTTTTAAAACGTGGTGCACACGGTCGATGCACTGCGCGAAAAAAATGCGCGTTGCGGCATCGTCATTTTCATGTCATCATTAATGCGAGCGTTCTAATCGTGACCCGTCATTATATATCCGTCCCGCATTGTCACGAAGTGAGATTATTACCGTTGCGTGCACGGGGTGTTTGGTAATTCGTCGTGATTTACGATGAACGGGCCGATGTTCTTCCTTTGTTGAAGATTCAAACAAATTCTCTTTCTTACCAAGAATTTGTTGAATTAAAATTGCTCTTAAACTAGAAAGTAAATTAATTCTGATAATTTTCAGTTTCAATTAACTGAAAGAGCATGATTTGTAAAACGATTAAATAATCCTTACTTTTCTTCTGATATATAATGTAATGAAGCAAATTTTTATTTTCATTAATATCTTTCATTTGAAACATCTCAGAATTTATTTTTTATTAATTTTCTGGAAATATTTAAGTTAAGAATTTATCCTATCTTGACAGGACAATGTCGAAGTCCGTTCATCGAACGCGCGAATTCTTAAACACCCCAATTCGCAAATATCGACGTAATGAAGTCACACGTGATTAAACAAATAATTAAACTTTAAATCTGGTGCTCTGTTGTAACATGTGCATCAGGCTTTAGTTTAAATATTATTGTCGTACAGTGAAGCGCCCGATAATCAATACTCGTAGCTTCTCTTTCGTTCTTTTTTTTTTTTCTAATCGAGCATTCTCACATATATCGATCATCACACGCACATTGCTGTCATTAATATATGTATGTAATATACATCTATGACATGTGTGATTTATATATATATATAAATAAATCAGTATATATAGTTACATTTATATTAACGTACAACATAATAACGCGTATGACATATCTATATATAATCTTATTTGCCGACGAGAATGCGAGACGATACTTGCCGATATCATAAATGTCGATACGTGCATATATCATATCGGTATGTATTTTTAAAAAGGTCTCGCATAAATTGACTAATTTTGTGGATCCTCCTTGGAAGGAAAAACGGAAAATTCAGGCTACTCAATTCGTAGGCTCACATACACACGCGCACGTGGAGTTCAATATACTTGTACTACACATCGCCGTATTAACGTACCATGTACCTTACTTATAAATGTGAATGCACATCAGATTAGAGTCAGCACTAGGCGGTCGAATCGGTTAATTGCGTCTTCGTTTTAATTTTCGTTATTATAAATATTCAAAAATTATTTCTGTTTATTTGCAACAATTGGATAGACATAAGATACGTATTTCCATAAGTGTTTAATAGCATATGTAAATGTTCCTGCTGGAAAACTGAAATAACTTTTCTCTCTACAAAGTTTTATAATTAAAAGTATATAAAAATTTAATATTTTTTAATGCTAATTTTAACGCTAATTATCCGAGTCATAATTACGTAAAAACAAAGTTCATCTAAAATTAATTGACAGATAAGGCTTTATTACTTGCGATTCTTAAAAAATCTCTTGTCTTATCCCGGTTATAACGCAAAAATTTATTTCTCGAGTAGTTTCGTTCGTAGTTCGATATTTTTGTAAAAAAAAAAAAATATATATATAGTTTTAGTTTTCTACAATACATCGAACATTGAATATTCTGCATATAAAAAAATGGAACAATCGAAATTAGCCGTTTCGAGACCCCATTTTTTACCATCATTCATTCGCAATATTCGACGCAATGAGCCGCATGCTTTTCATCCTGCTTCCTTGTATGTGTCCCGTTTTTACCTTTGATCACGCACATGCGTGATCATGAAGGACCTACATATATATTTATATAGAGTGAAAGATGTGTGTCTGTGTATGTATATGTATAATATACGTATGTATACGAAATACATCTAGACAATGTATAATATTTTGTTTCTTTTTTTCTAAATATTTCGATCTTATTTTGATCTTTGTATATTTACTTTCATGATTTGTCTACTTAATAGCTTATCAATACTTTCTTACGATACTTTCATTTCGTTATCACTTTCTTACGAATACTTTCATACGTTTCAAGTTATAAGCTGCTACGTGAATGTTTCCAGACTTGTCTCGGATATTGAGAAAATTCGCACCAGATAATCAATTTAGAATCCGATTTGTATAATCATGCATTTTTACAATCGTCCCGTTTTACTATCTTTCAAATAATTCGCACTCCGTTTCTGGCGAATATTAATGGAAAATTAAGTAATAGTTCCACTTTCCCCTTGCGGTTTTTCGCGCTTTTTATGCTCACCAACTTCGCACACGCAATATCCATACATCATAAATATCCTGAGTGAATATTTGTACATATTCCTTTGATATTCAAATATCTCATAATATCCAGATCTCTGAATCTTTGTTAGTGTGTTGCTGTTAATTGTTCTTATAAACATTTTTTTTTAATTTTATCTAACTCACAGTCAATATATGTCCGAGAATTAAGAAGTATCCGGAAAATTGGATATTGCAACTCGAATATTCAAGTGAATATTCAAAGATAATTTCTCCGAATATCTATGCTGTATGGATTTCCATTATTTTATTCCAAATTTAATTGTACTATATCCAAGTGTGCGTAAGATCTTGCGCGTCTTTGCGTATAATTTGAATTTCGACAAACGATTTATACGCCGTTTATTATATCGATTTCGTAAACTTTCTTTCTTCTTTATTGCTATATTTCTTCGCGTAAGTAACTTAATTGTAAATCGGAAAAATTCGAAGAAGAGGGGAAGAAATACCTAAAAGTTTCAGCGATTGAGCCATGTCGCGCGCACCGAGATCTCTCGTGATTGCTATTTCGTTTTTTTTTTTCAAACCTTGCCCTTAATTATTGTCCACAGAGAAAATTATTGTCTGCAACGGTTTGAATTATTGTCGATTTGGGACATATCTCGATCTCGTCGCTAATATAAGCAGCATCTTTGCTATTAATACTTTTTATAAAAAGGACATTCGCAAGTACAATATTTTGCGGATATCGTATATCTTAATCGTCCTATAAATTAGGACAATATTTTCTTCCACCTAATATCTCATGAAAAAATTTATGTATTCACCGCGTTTTGGGTTATTGCATTGCAACTTGCAAAGCCTGACTTGATAACTCGCTTCAGACTTTTCCAAAAAATATAAATGCGGCTACTTGTACATTACATAAGATACATTTTCAAAAATTTTGTCTGATCAGCCGTTTCTCGTTTACTTTTATTTTAAAGAAAGCATGCAAAGATCGACGAATTAAAGATATAAAATCCTTCCTAGTAGAAGCTTGAACTAGAGAAACATCTTTAGATTCAATTTTAGGCATTGCGAGTGACTTATCGTTTTCGAAATGATAAATTGTTTCAAACTGGCTATCTCATTTATCGTAAAACGCTGTAAAAAATATTGCACATCTCCAATAAAGTTTATATAAATAGCGATCGTTTGATCATCTATCGATGAATCTCGTTAATTTTACGACGTAGTCGAGATAAAATTCCTCTGATGTCGTTACGAGTCATTCGCGTGGCCATTCATAGCATCATTCTCTGTACTCTTAGATATTACGCTCAACAGAAAAATTCGCGGATGTTTTTACCGAGAAACTTAGAAATGTGCATTTTAACATTTAACTAGCTGCACCCTGCAATTCGTAGAATCATCAAACCATTGAAACTTTATTTATATATACGGTCCTCAGACATACTGCGAGATTTGTTAAACAATCCATAATTGATATCAAACGACAGTTCTAACTAAAATTAAGTTACATTTAATAAGTATATCTCACATTTTCTCCGAATTATTATTATAATTACTAAACAGAATAAGACACCTATGTTGTTATATAATATTTTAAATTGATGGTTAAGTTTCTGTTTTATTTTCCTTGACACACAAGAAAAACAAGACCGTTACGACGACCTTTTTCTCTCAAGGGAAACAAAATTGCGAATTTATGATCTTTGCAGGTTTTACTTCTGCGAGTTTTGATATAATAAAGACGCAGTATGTCCAAGGAACTGGCGGATTGACGGCTAATGGTAACGAATGATCTACAACCTCGGGAAAACGCAGTCTACTCTTCTCGTATCCGATTGCTTTATCCGGAGGCTGACCATACTCAATTCCATTGCTGATTATGCACGACGTCGTGCGCATAGTTGTCCGTTGCTGGCGGCTGCACGAGAGATGCGCTAACGTCGCTGGCGAACGGATTTGTCGAATGGAACGGATTGTTGCTGTTGGTCTCCGTCGAACCGTAGCTTATCACGGGAGCTTTATTGTCTTGTTGCGCGTATAAATGATTCTCAGGCGCCGGCTGCTCGTAAGTGTTCCAGTCGTCGGCGACTCCGTCCTGGGACGGTTGTTTCTGGAAAGACGAGGATGATTTTTTGATCCCGTATTCGCGAAATATATACTCTTATTTTCAAAAAAGGTAAAAAAATCTTGAATCTCTTAAAAAAAAGATTAAAAATGAATTAAAAATTCTTATGTTTCTCTAAAAATTATTTCAATTCGCGTGCTGGTTTTAATAAGTGATCTAAATGATTACGTTCTGTAATGACACGCGATATCTTCTGGAGATAATTGTTAACGCACTTACTATAAATTCAGATTGCATGGTTTTCGGCGGAGGTGGCACAGGCGGTTTCGTCTGTCCGAACTCGTCCATCGGATTCCAGGCTTTTTGTTCCTCTAATGTGGGATCGGCCCAGGGTTGTAACTCGCCGGAGCAGAAAATCGCATAAAACGTCACTCCAAAGATGTGAACGCATGCTGCTATGATGAAAACGTTTCGCCAACTGTGCGCGTCCTGCGCAGAATTTTTTTTTTTCTTTGTAATCAATCGTTCCTTCTTCATTTTCAAAATTTAAATTTGTGTTATTTAAGCGCATCCCGATATTTCTTTAATTTTAAATTTACTTTTTGATACATTTTTACCAGAAAATAAATTTACGATTGAAAATTTGTTTCTTTCTTGTACCTTTTTCTCCGTGATGTTATCCACGAAGAAAGGAACCAAGAGACCAGCGATGGTACCAATCCCGTTGGACATACCCATCAGGATGCTGGCGTATCTAGGCGCGATGTCCAGATGATTGACATTGAAACCGGAAATGGCGAAACCGCTGCACGCGACGCCGATCGCGAGGGCGACCGTAGCCGCGGTTCCATTCCTGGACGTTGTCGCTTGTGCTACCACCAAGAAGAAAAGCGCTTCCATACCGAAACCACCGCAATTGAAAACTTTCCTGACATTCGTCGTCGACATGATGCCGCGTTTACGGAGATGATCCGCCAACAAACCGCCGCATGGTACAATCATCGTCATCAATAGATGCGGAAGCGACCCGATGACTCCAGTCTGTCGTAAAACGATTAGAGGCGCAAAATAATATTTTAAATTTAAATAAAAATAAAAATTTTATTTAAATATTATTATACGTATTCGAAAATTATTATACGAATACATATGTATGATGCTGACCTCGACGAGCGGCATTTGGAAGGACTCGTGCATGAAACGCGGTTGAAAGAGCACCAGCAGATAGAAGTTCCACGATCTGCAGAAATTGGCGACGATGATGGCGTATACGGGCATGGAGGTGAGAAATTTTCGCCAAGGCGTTGTCGCTAGGGTGGGCACGGGCACGGCTATCTGTGATTGTCCTTGACCGAGCGAATCCTCGATGTAGCGTAACTCACGGGCCGAGATGCACGGATGTTTAGACGGCTTCTCGAACGCCAGCCACAACCAGAAACCGTACCAAATCAGACCGCAGACGCCTACAATTTATCGGGCGAAACGAAAAATTTCGTATTTTTCACCAACTGTGAAAATAAATGCGAGGATGTGAGGATGATGCGTCCTTACCGTAAAAGTAAAACGACGCCGTCCAGCCGAACCAGGCACTCAGGTATCCGGAAAGCGGCATACCTATCACCATCGCAGCGTACGATCCGCAAAATGCTAACGTAGCCAGACGCGATCTCTCCAGAGGCGGCGCCCAGTATTTCCAAATACCGTGGCACGCCGGATACGTAACACCCTGTGAAGAATAAAAGTACGATCGTTATTGCAAATGATTGCAGAATTGCGAGAGAATTTAAAGATTTATAGTATAATTTATAATTTTATAATTTGCTTTTTATTATAATTTTATTAATTTGTTTTTTAATTGAACTAAATGCAACGTTATTGAATTACATGTTATTAAATTAAATTTTATCGATATTAGAAAACCTTTCTTAATCATGGTTGCCTTAGTCATGATTGCTAAGATAATCAATCGCGTAAAGCAGATTTTCCACGCGAAAACAAAATATTTTTTACATGGTAGAGCATATTCTTATTTTAAATTTTTATCAATTTTTCAAATCTCGATTTTTTAGATACTCACCTCGACCAGTCCTTTCATCACTTGCACGATCATGTCGACGATAGGATCCACCTTTAACGCGCCGGGTACCAGCAGATTCAAGAAGGAAGATATCGCGATAGCGGCGCCGAATATCTTGTTCGCGGGATATAACGACGCGACGAAGCCACCGGGCACCTGCGTCACCAGGTAACCCCAGAAGAAGGATGAATCGAGAGCACTTTCCATACCTATTGTCCAGTTGAATTTGACACTGCTATTCTCGCCCTCCGTACTGTTTTTCATCACCAACTTGGCCATTCCCATGTTACATCTCATGCCGAACGAAATAATGAATCCTGAAAACAAGATTAATTAAGGTAAAGTAAGATATTTTAGAAATGAGCTTTTCTTTAGAGATGTAAAAAGGATCGAAAATTTTACCCTCTTATATATTCGCGATAACGTTTTATATATTTTTTAAATTCTTAGTTTATATATGAAAAGAGATTGAGATTTTTTTCGTCTGTGACGAAAAAGGCGATTTAATTAATGACAAATTGTTTTATTTATTGTTGATTCTTACCTACGCAAGCCAGCATCGCGATAGTGTACCTCTTGGAAAGGCACGGGCATTCCGGCATGCAATATGTATCGATATGACGTAACGGTGGTCTCTCCGGTTCCGGAAGTGACTCAAACGAGGCATGTCTACTATATTCTCTCTCATCCTCGAACCCCCTATTGTCCTTGCTACCCTCGTGCGGGCCTTCGAACTCCTCGTAACCGGTCTTGTTTCTTCTGAGTCTAAAGAGTCAAGAATTCTTTCAAAAGAGATTATCTTTTTTGTCGCATTCGATTTTTTAATAACTTTTACCGTTTTCGAAACGATTTGTTTTCATAATAAAAATTGCATTCACGGCACAATATAAAAGATATAATTGAAAGAATATTATATAATTATTTCTATATCATGTCAAGGTATAAAATTTTAATTTATTATAATTCTATAAATATATGTGTATAATATATTACCCGGATAATTTCTGCGACGCTTTCGTCTTGAAGGAGTCAAAGGCTACGAGACCCGCCGCTGCGAATCCGGACATTTTCCAATTATTGGGGTTGCTCTGGGATTTCGTACGATTGCGATGTCAATCGGCAGCCCCTACAGAATACACAGTATAACTAGAAAAAAGTTGTCTCGTATATAGTTTTATAAAAAATTCAATAATGTACGCATCTCTAACTTTGCAAACAAAATATGTTAAATAATTCAAGTATATCGGAATATTGTATGGATATCGCACAAATTTGAAAAGAGATTTCTCAAAATGATATCAAGATTAAAAATTTTACAAACATATAATCCGGGAAAGTGTGAGACACGTCAAAAATAGCTTCCGCCTCGCTACCGTATCTCGGTCATCCACAGCTTCTTTCGGAAGAAAGCTGCTATATCTATATATATATATATATATAGAGAGAGAGAGTATCTCTATATAGAACGGCACACAGCGAGGGAAACTCTCGGGTAGGACTGTTTATTTGGAGTGGCAGTCTCTCCACCCCTAATCCCCGAACTCTCGAGGGAGCATCTTCGGAGGGTAGAAAACTGTGAGAAGAAACGTTTCGTCGGCCGTACACCGAGATCATATTTTTCACTTAGAGTCCGTTCTAGGCCGTGTATATTTCGGCGGTTGAAGTGTAAAATCTTAATCAAATCTGTCCTTAATCAAGGCATACTAGTGCGTTGAAGAAAGACATAATAAATGCGAATTTTGGCGACTTCTTCGACCTATGAAATCAAATAAGATAATCTAGGATGAAATTGCAAAAGTGCACAACAATGTAAGTGCTAAAAACAATTCATGCACTTCATATTTTCTTTCCAACGTGCAAAACTATTTCAATTACAATTAGTATTGTTACACATTTCTTTTTTTTATTTTTATATCTTTAACTTTGACATGTGTATTTTTCTATTTTTCTCGCAATGCATATCCAAAAGTAGCTATTTTTTTTTGTATCTATCATTGTTTTGCGCTTCCAATCTACAATTGCAATAGTTTCGTTGTATCATCGTCATCGTTGCACGACGGAGCCTGCAAAAATCGTTACGAGGGTGCTGCGCCGATCGTAAAGAGGCGCATCGGAGGACAATGGCTCTCTGGATATTAAAACGGCACGTGACAGACAAGAGACGCAAAATGCACAGTGCGTGTTAACGAATCGGGGTGGAAAATGACAAGTATGGACATGCTGACTCAACTTAATGGACATTGAGCGACATTCGACAAACGACGTTTTCATACTCTGAGTCGCGACTTCACATCTTCCATTAACAGTAGCAAATTTTCGGGAGACGGATTTGAATAATATTTAAATATTAGATGCACTGTATTTAAAGAACAGAATCGAGATGTAATTTTTTTGATAACTATGAAATGTCACGTATAAGAAAGTTAGCAGAAAATATTACTCTTTTTTGGGATTCTCCATAAAAGAGTCTATATACTTTTTTCGAATATCAAGAAAATAATAAAATACTCAAAATCCCGGCATTGTGGGATAGAGATAAAGCTCATTTTCATGAATAAATGATAAATAGTACTAATAGAAGTAGGATTCTCTACTGCGCGATATTCAGAAGGGATCTCGATTAAAGCAGAAACTCAATTTGCAGCTAATCAGTGGAAGAATGGCGCAAACGAGTTGACTGAAACATCTCGCAGCCTCGGGCAACCTCGTGTAATTCAAGTCGAAATGTGAGGAGTGCAATAAACGTTAATATACTCGCAATCATCCATTCGCACGATTTCATGTATCTAAAAATTACACAATCGACGTCACTGAAATGTTTCGTCAGATTCTCTAGCAATTCTACGCTTTCCACATCACAAAACACACATCAGATACGAATCACTCTCGAAAAGCGAATACGAATAAGATCACTACTCTTCGCGATCTATCTCGCTGAATTTCTCAGATAAAAAGTTTTTACTTAAAATAAACATGTTAAGAAGGAACCCTTCGATTATTCCATCAGGGAAAAAGGTACGAACATGATATAAACAATTTTATTATCACTTTTTTCTTTAATTCCATTTGATTCCAGAATCACAGAATCTTTCTCGAGATTCTTGCTTAAATTAAAAATGGATGACTAAAAACCGAATGAAAAAATTTAAACATCTTCGGTTCTTTCAGAATTTAAATAAAATTATTATTACTTTGCGATTTTCACTCGTACCGAACTCTCAAAATCACTTTCGAATGTTTCTCACCATAGGAGAGAGAAATAATATTAACAACACTTAGATAGGTTTCTCGTTCCATCCCTCTCGAAAGGTCATGTACGTTCCCCATTTTGCTCGCAAGCAAAATGGAATCGGCACTGGCAATTTTTTTTTTAATGTTTAAAGAGAATAATCGAGAAAGCCGGGAAAATGCGATAAGAGAATTCGCGGCACTCACCAATAATTAAGTCCAGACGCGATTACGAGCGGATTGGGTGACAGTAGCGCGGGGTACGCGACGGAGAACGTCGTCGACGTCGCCTGACGTCGTCGTCGTCGTCGTCGTCGTCGTCGTCGTCGCCGCCGCCGCCGCCGTCGCCGCCGTCGACGGTG